TCATATTGTAATTCATAAGATTCAAGAATATAGCTATAATGATATTGAGATTTGAGCTGACAATCAACTGCAATTGACTCATGAGAACTCATTTATAAAGAAAGATTTAAAAGAAGATGATAAATCTTCTGAGCAGATCAATCATGCTCATCAATGAGCTGATTCATAAGTTTAACAACTGTAGAGAGCAGTGAGTGACTTGAACTGACTCTTGAAATCACTCATTGAACAATCTGATAATAGAATTCTGTGTCTGTTTCAGCCTTGATAATGTACTTAGACAGATAATCAAGAACAGCACAGCTGTCAGTGCAGGGAGTAATATCAGTATTTACTAGTCAGCTAACTGTAATTAATCTGTTGTAGTTATTAAGAATTGAATTGTTATGACAGAGATGCAGCTGATAATATCTACTACTCAAAGATTTAAGAATAGCACAGTCAGTTCAGTATTCATGCAGGAAGTGAAATTAGCAATGTAGATTATCAGTGACTTAGTGTTTACAAATGCAGTACTTTTCACTACAGTGATGATATTGAACACAGTTGAGAACTGCAGATAAATATTCAATGATATTCATCTGATCAGAATGACTGAGAGAAAGAAATGACTGTACATCTTCAGACTGAGTGTAATTAGGCTCAGAATTCTCAGCTGTAATAATAAGACCTCAGTAGTTAGTAAAGACTTGACAGAAGTCTTCATTCATATCAAGTTCAGAATTCAGTGAATTCTTATATTAAAATACACTATGTGAGTGCACTGTTCTGTGATCTTGTCACTTATAATGAGTTCAGTGATCTAGAATTTTGAATTTCAGATCTAGAATCTTTTCTTTGAAGATTGCAAGTCATAGATGAAAGTAATGTGCAACTATAGTGAAATAGTCATAAATACTATCTCTTACAAACATCAACCTCTCAAGATCAGTGCCGCGCTTTCAAATGATATAGTCAGAGAAGTGATGTATCAGATCATTTCAGTGATGATCTAAAGCTGAGAGAGTAAGAAATAGATGTGAAGATTTAATATTTTGAACATAGATCTGTAGCTGATGATGTTTTACATCTTAAAAAGAATAAGTTTCATGAAGACTCTCTGCAAACTGTGTAAGTGAATTCAAAATTGTGACAGATTGTGAAGTATCAGCAGTAAAAGCAGTCTGCAGCTTCTGTAGAGTGAGGTTCTTAATAAGAGAATCAGTTTAATTGTAGAAAAAGTGATTCTAATTATTAATCTGTCTGTGAAATATAGAATTGAAAAGAATATATTGAAAACAGCTATGACAGACAAAGCAGCTGTCATGATATTTAAGAAGAAACTGTGTGTAATCTGCAAGACTAATTGTTCTTTATCTAGAAAGAATGAATTCAGCTTCACCTTGTGAGAAAAGTGTTGAAAAGGCCTAAGAAAAGAGTGAATGAGTGTTGTTAAACTCACTAAGTAATGTATTACAGACTGAAGACAGAGTGAGATGATCAATCTGTTCTCACTGTAACATTTCAAGTTCATAATGAATTTGCTTAACTTCAGATCATGAGATCAAAAGATCTGAAACATCAGAGTATTCAGATAAGATATTCAAGTTGTCAAGATTCAAATGATTCTCATTCTTAATAACTGTCAATTCTTGCTTATTAAGCTTGTAAAAAGAAATCTGATCAGAGACATCTTTATTTTCAGATAACTGATTTTAAGTCTCTTTGTCAATCACAATGTTCTGATAACTGAAATGATTTTTACAGAGATAGATTAGTCATTAAGTAACAGCTTCTTTATAAATTATGAAATCTTAGTGAAACTGATATTGTAAGTGAGAATCTGTATTTGAATTTGAAGACATCAATATAATAATATCAAGATTCTTAGAAAGAAGTGAGAGAGTGTTATAAATACAGCTAGTGTCTCTAAGAAAGCTAATAACATAATCTTTATACTTATACTGATATTCTCTGACTTGATAAATCTCAATGAAGACATGCATGTGTGAAATTAATATCTCTTTAATCTGACTGAGAACAGAGAGATCTGAATCAAGATCACTGAAATCAAGATTATTCTCTTAAGAGAATAAAAACAGCTTATCAGACATCTGTCTTGAATCAATAGTATGATAATGAGTATAAATATTATCTTAAAGATTCATTCTGAATCAGTGAATCTGACAATGACTACAGATCTTCATCTGTAAATCTTCAAGTGTATCATGAAATTTCTGCATACACTGTTAATTATCAGAATTAACAGCTGAATCTGTAAGATAAGTAGAACTCTGAAGATTCATTGAAGAGTCTGAGACAATTGCAGTCTGTAACTGATTATGTTTCTGAAGAATTGTGAGAGCTTCTATATTTAATGTGTCAATTGAGCTTTCAGATTATATAGAGTGCTGAGATGTCAAGAGACTGCTAACTCTTCTATTAAGTTAATTAACAAACAGATCTACAGAGCTCTGAGAAACAGAACTTTGAGAAGTTAAGAGGAAGAAAAATGATGTAAAAGCTGTCTGCAGTGAAAGTATGTCTGAAAAAGTGAAATAAGATTGGCTTGAGAATGAGTTGAATAATGATACAGATGATTGATGAAAGACTGAAGAGAAATCTGCAGAACTGAGAGATAAATTAATTATCAAAGATAATAACTGTGACTGTTTTCTCAATTAAGTTAAGAATGAAGTTGATGAGAAATGTTCTCTATAACACCTGATAATATGATAAGCTCTTTGAATAATAGTTTTCTTTTTACAGACTACTGTTAATAAAGATGTGTCAGAACTATGAATCTTACAGTGATAAAACTTAATCTCAGATAATATATCTATTTTAATAAACTGTTTATAAGTCTGAGAGACTGCTATTAATTGCATGAAGTATTGATATATCTGAGATGATAAGAGAAGTTCAGACTTATTTATCACAGAATCTGTGACTGTAGAAGAATCTGGTTTCACTGCACATATCTGTTTACAGTTCTACACAGTGTAAAGAGATAATCAGTGATAGAAAAGATGTAATGAGAGAAGATTATAATACCTGAGTTCTCTGAGTGCAGCATTGAAGACAGACAGCTGTAGAAGTAGTAGAACACTGTAAAGAAATGAATTGATTAAGAGACTGATTTCACAAGCAGTGAACACAGGCTTTTGACACATTATTCATTCTTGAGAATCTATGAGAGGTGATTGATCAGATGTGTTATCTATTCAAGAATCTGTACAGAGTAGATAGTTGATAAGATGCATAATCTATTATTCAAAAATCTGTATAAAGTAGATAGTTGATGAGATGTATAATCTATTATTCAAGAATCTATACAGAGTAGATAATTGATAAGATAAAAGATAAACACATTGTAAGTGTGTAGAGATATAGTACAATGTTATAGAATTATACTTTACTTAATTCTACATCAATCAGTGAGCTGTATTCACATCAAGAACTTTAAAAAGAAAATTCTTCACTTTTAATGATCAGGGTTTTCATCATATATTTACTTCACTTTGCTCCGCAAATTATTCTTAGTAAGAATCTCACTTATGAGTAAGCTAGTTACAGAAGCTAGCTGAGTGACAGCTCTTTAGAGAAAATGATAATCTCTGAAGCAGGTCTGAGAGAACAGAGACAGCAGTCAGTTATATAGAGTGTTAAAATATGTATATAGCTTAAGATGTAAACTGTAGAGATCTTGTTCTGTAGATCTCTCTTTATTTTACTTTACTTTGTTCTTTCTATTCTTTTCTATCTATCTATTTAATATGTCTATCTTTAAGACTGTGTTCTCTTTTCATTTATCATGATATTATTAAATGATTTCAAAGTATCAGAAGATGTTAAAACACTGTAATTTATAAATAGTTTTTGTATTCTGAGCTGAAATTTTCTGATTTTGCATATCTGAAATTGATGAATATATGATAGTTATCTTTATAGATATAGAAAAAACCCTGAGAACTAAAAGTTCTCAGGTAGATATTATAGTCTCTGACTGTATACATCTATAATTGAAGAATAATAATAATAATAACTTCTCAGCTCAGAAATATAGAGTGATTTATTAAAGTAATTTATACATCTCTGTATTTATTAGAAATCTGAGATGTTTAAGTTTTAAATTTAATATATTCTCTGTGAGTTTCAAACTCACATATTTTAATTTCTCATGCTAAGACACTACTGAGTGACTGTATTAATTATTTAGCTATCAGAGCCGCTAACTCTATTAGTTACATAAGAGATAGAAATAGAGATAAAGAATCTATAAGAAGCGGGATTTCTTACAAATCAACATAAATAAATCAAAAGATTAACAGAGATAAATTAAAAGATTAAGAGAGATAGTTAAGTAAGTACTTACTATAAAAAGTCTGCAAAGTCAGCAGTTGAATAAGAGATTAACAGAGTTTAATAATCAAGAGAGATAAAGTGACTGAAGAATTACTGAATGAGATAATTTAATTAAAACTGATTTATAACTTGTATATATAATAATAGTATGTAGCAGAAAAATATAGCAATGATTAAAGTGAATTCTTATATATAAGAGAGATATAATCTGATGAACAAGTTCTTGAAATAATTGATTATTATTATGAGAAGCTAGCTGCTTCATATTCTTTTATTAAAATCTTGCAATTGCTGATTATATAAATCAGTGACTGTAGTAAGTATGTGAGTAAAAGTAATCAGCTTATAGAAGAGATAATCTGATATTATATTAATTTTAAAATATTATTAAAATATATATATCAGCTGTTATTATAGTAGTATAAAAAGCGGTTATTTTTATTATTTAAATAAATTTATGTTATAAATTCAAGTGTAAATTATTAATAAACTAATATATAATTAGACAACTGAATTATCAATCTCAAAAAAAAAAAAAAAAAGAATAAGAATAAGAATAAGAGAAAAAGAAAAACAAAGATGAAAAAAATACAGATGAAAGTGAAAGCAGAGAAAGACAGAGATGCAAACAGAGAAAGAGACAGAAACAGAGAAAAGAGAGAAAAAGAAGAAAAAAAGAAAAGAAAGAAAACAAAAGTTATTATAGTTATTAAATAGAACTTCTTTCTCTGTAAATAATCTACTGCTGCTGTTACAGGCTCTGCTCTAATCTACTCTGCCAAACACCAGATCAGAGATAATAGTGTTGAGTTACTTGATATCAAAGATGTTAAATTTGAATATCTGCACTGTGAGAACACCTCTCTTCAGAGAAAATTAAACCATGTTCAGTATCTCTTAGAAATGACTGTTGAATTCATCAAAGATGATTAGATAGCTTGCAGACTGTGCAGGTGTTGTTTTTTTTAAATTAGTTATTACAGAGCAATCAAATTGATGATTTACAGAGAAGAATGATGATGTTGAAAATATCCAATTCTACTACATTGCAGCCGCCTGTAGAATCGCTATTTCCTAATGCGGACTAGCTCCGCAATAATTAGCACACCAAGGCTCGTGTGCTACAAAAACATTTTCAATTGTTGATTTTTTATTTATACATCACTCCTTCAGTGAGTTCTTGGTAGAAATTACCACTCACAAGAGCGGGTATAGTCTTCGTTATCCGCTATACATCCTGAAACCAAGGGTGTTCAAGGGCTTCCCTCGCTGTGATCCTTCTCGTGGGGTCTAGGCTGGTCATCTTCGTGATGAGATCTCGGAAGCATTCGTCAACATCCTCCCACATGGAGAACGGTTTCCTTGGATTTTTCGGTGAGAACTCCTTGATCACATCCAGAACGAGGTCTCGCCACGATGCAGCGTCGTAATCTAAATGCTCCACAAGGCCGACCAGTCCCGGGCTATCCCCAAAATGTGAGAGCAGGCGCCTTGCAACTAACCTTTCCTTCTCCTCCTCGGTCAACCCTTCTGAATCGATACGAAAAATAATCTTCTGAAGCATCGTATATATGCACTTTAAAAGATAAAGGTCATTAACAAATCCAAGCCCTGGACGGATGGATATACTCACAACAAGGCCAAAAGAAAATATGTCAGATGGGCGATTGATCCGAGCGGCAGCATGGGACTCGGGGCTGCGCCACATGGGATTTCCTAGTCGGGCTCCACGGACATTTAAACCTGGCGGAACCATTGACCCCATTTCAAGGTCACCGATCTGGACTTGATTTATCCTGATAGAACCATCAGGATTCTCATCATAGTCCACAAATACATTGTTGGGTTTGATGTCTGTAGGAGTGAAAAGATATCAGCACAAGGTACAGTGGGATATGGGCTATGGTGTTGCCTAACCGCCGTGTAGGATGCTTTGATCATGCAAATCTGCAAGACCAGCTAGTGTAGCACGCAGAATTCTCTTTCTTTCAGTATCAGAGAGATTCTCTTTCTTGGCCAGTTCCAAAAGATCGTCGGTAAAGTAGTTATAGACAAATAGAAGGTGTTCGGGAATCGTGTCCATGACAACCCGAAGATTTGGGCAGCTCGCAAGAGGGGTTTGAAGATCGAGTTGATACTCAAACTCAGTATGAAAGATGTTCTTCATGACATACTTCTTTCCGTTTCTTGAACTATTAGCCGTAGCGAGTTAGTAAGATAAGCTGTAAGATCTGAAGCAATACATACATAGCCAAGTAAACACAGGCTAATGTAGGCTCAGTCCTGCATTGAAGTATTTGATCAACCTGGTATTGTGTTCCTGATTGACTAACAAGCTTTGTACCAAGCTGTAAAGGCTCCTCCAGTTCCTTCATTGGAATCCCAACATTTTGTTTAAGATCAATCCCTGCCACGTTCTTTGGAATATAGGGGGCATTGAGAGTATTCGAAGGCGAGTTCATAATTGAGCGAGTGTTGGTCAATCCAGGGCAGAGATTATAAGACTTGAACTGTCTCCCAGAGAGTCGCGAAGTCGAGGGTGTTTTAAACCGTGCGGCAAGCTGACGTGAAATCATGATACCTAGTTAAGGATATACACATCAGTAATCTGAACAAATGGGGGGTGCGATTGGAAGTACTACGGAGATTCTTCACGTTCCGATTCTGGGGTGAGAACTGCGGAAAGCTGTGCAGTTCTGTATATTTGATTGCTTAGTTGTCTTAATCTAACCCAATGGGGAAAGGATAATTAGAACTCTCAAGTCATGGTGGTTATAACAGCAACTGCACCGAATTCGGGTCGCAATGAAAGGCTTCGGCGTGTTCGCCCTTGTTCGATAATATCTATTTATAATTTGATCTAGACGTCAAGTAAAGAACACAGTGGGGCATTTTGGCGCCGCGCGCCGCCAAGAGTTTAAGGACACAAATTTGTAATCCGGCGTGATTCAACTTGTTGTCAATGCTTTTATCTCAAGCTCACATTATTTTGTTGGCGACGCGCCGGTTTATCTCAGTAAACTCAGCCACTCCACTCCGAGCTAACTCAATCCGAACTACTGCTACTTTCTGCCAAGTCCTGCTAACATCTGAGTCAATCAACTGTCACAGGGCTTATACTAAACCTAAATGAGACATTCTCAGCAAACTCTTTGCAGAGTATCTGAGAAAAAACAGTTCCTGTTTATTAGTAATATAGAAATGATTTACTTTAATTATAATATTTAAGATAGAATCACTATATAACATTACTTATAGATCATTTCTTTATCATCTTAAAGAATTAATTTTTCAATTTTCTATTAATTGATGTAATTTTTATCTGAAAATATACATATTCTGAGTAGACTGACCGTGTGACTGTGTCTGAGATCAGGACCAGAATTTTTGATAGTTTCATTGTCAATTCAACAGATCTCATTACACAGTTCTAACATTAGATAGTAGTCTCATACTGTCTCAGTGAGACTTACTGTCTACTCTTATTACATTTTTCAAATGAGATCATGATTTTCACTTCTCAATTTAAATTATTTTTATTGCTTTAAATGACTTTAAATCTCATTTAAGCATTATCAAAAAGTATTACTTTTTAAAAAATTAAAAATAGTCTAAAAAAAACCTTAAAATGTCTAAAAATAGTAACTTTATACTAAGAATGAGACTAAATAAAACCAAATAAGATCACTTTCTTATTTTTTTCAAGTCATGATTTCATTTTGAGATCTGATATATAGTCACTTTGCATGTTTATTTAATGATTAGTCTCAGCAGGATTCACATCAAGAAATGTATGAGATCAGATTAAATGAGATTAAATATGAAATTCATGATTTCAGCAGTCAGTCTAATTCTGAGTATAAAGTATCACATTGAAAACTGCTACTATGATTTTGAATATGAGAATGATTTACTAATTTTTCAATCATGATTATATCTAGTTATTCAATATCTTGATCTTGCTATTAAAACATCTATTCAGTTATCAGAGACTATAGTCAAAGCACTGAGTGTATTTTTCAGTAACTTCTGACAACTTCTGATAACTTCTGATCTCTTGACAATCTCACATAGTACATTAACTTGTAATAACTTCTGACAACTTCTGAGATCTTCTGACAACTTCTGAATCAATTATATAACACTTCTTTTTAACAGCTGAGTTGAACAATATCTCATTAACTGCATTAAATATGATCAAGAGAAATTGAAGAAAATGTGTAAGTCAGCTACAATAACAGCTTTAAAAGTCATTATTAAAGTAAATACTTTCAATGAATATTGAAGATATATTATAACTTGTTATGAGCTATACTGAATCAGATAGTATTGATAAGTAATAGAATATTATTCAGTATTGTCTTCAATGAATACTTCAAGACCTGTGTTCAGATTCTGAGTGTACTCTTCAGTTATGTATAGAATAAGTTTATATACTTTAGTGCATGATATATGAATATAGCAACACTTTATTCATTGTCAGAACTGATTATAAAAAGAGTCTTATTCTTCAATTCTATACAATTCTGACAGAAAAGATAATCATTTAACTGGTTTCTCTAAACAAGCTTGATGATCAGTAAATAAGAGATATAGCACAGTTTCTCAGTATCAATTCTTGTCTGATCAGTGCTGATAATCTTCAGAGATAAGAAGACTTACTCAAACACATTTAACAGAGTAAGTATACACATATACTGCTCAGTTCAGAGCAAGCTCTTTATAAGTAATTTCAGTATATTCTTCAAGACTCTACTTTATAAGAAAAGATTGAGCTTATAGCTATTAATGAGTATCATCTTGTCATACAGTGAAGTTAATTTCATAGTCAGTTTGTTAGACTGAGGCATCTGAGATTGCTTCTTTATAAGAATATTGTCTGATTTGACTGTTCTGCAATTCTCAGCAGTAAAGCTGAGAATATCATTCTTCAAGAGACTGAATTTCATTCTATTGATGTAAACTCATGACAGACTCAGATTATTTGAACTTTCATTAATTATTCTGATATCTTTATCAGTGTATATCTGATTTCACATGATAAACTTGTATTCTATGATATGTTATATTTTTTATTGAATAAGGTCATTGATACAGATGAAAAGATCATATCTTAACACATTTTAAAGATTATTATCTTTATTGACAGTCATGTCAAGATTAGACTGGCCGCTGGGACCATGAATTTCATGTTTGATTCCATTTAATCTGATCTCATACATTTCTTGGCGTGAATCCTGCTGGGACTGGCTATCAAAAAAACATGCAAAGTGACTATATATCAGATTTTAAAATGAGACCATGACTTGAAAAAAATAAGAAAGTGGTCCCATTTGGTCCCATTTAGTCCCATTCTTGGCATAAAGTTACTATTTTTAGACATTTTAAGGTTTTTTTTAGACTATTTTTAATTTTTTAAAAAGTAACACTTTTTGATAACACTCAAATGAGATTTAAAGTCATTTAAAGCAATAAAAATAATTTAAATTGAGAAGTGGAAATCATGGTCCCATTTGAAAAATGTGACAAGAGTAGACAGTAAGTCTCACTGAGACAGTATGAAACTACTATCTAATGTTAGAACTGTGTAATGGGATCTGTCAAATTGACAATGAGACTATCAAAAATTCTGGTCCTGGTCTCAGACACGGTCACACGGTCAGTCTAGTCAAGATTCAATAAGCAGTGTAATATTTTCAATCAATACTTCTTCAGATCTGTCAGAATAACAGGCAGAATATGTTCTAACAACGCGAGATAATTTTGACCGTCTTTTCTGTCAGTTATAAGACATTGTAGGCAGGTGCTGTGAGTCATAGCAGTTTGATCATAAACAAGCTTGTGAGGTATCAGTATCAGTATCAGTGATCTCAAATTCTGAAGAAGTATCAATAGATTCAAGCTCTGTTAAGTTACTGTCTGATATATCATATTCATCATCTACATTGTTGAGAGACTGTAGTGATTGTAGAGAGAATTCATCTTCAAGTGATAAAGAATATTGACTGAAGCATGTCTGACATTGAGTGTCTTGAGATTCAAAAGACATGCTGTCTTTTGTCAATGATTGTGATATGATGAGAAGAGATAGTAAGTTGTAAAATAGCAGAGATGATAGTAGAATGACTGAGAATTCAAAAAATATCAGTTTAATGATGATCAGGCAGATATTTAGAGTAGATATATGATTTCAAAGTTAATTGAATATTTTATATGAGTGAAGTTGATTTTCTATATATGATGAAACTGTTTCTTCTCAGACTCTCTATGAGATATTAGATTGCAAGCACATGTGAAGTCTCTTATTAATCCAGAAGTTAGCAGGACTTGACAGAAGTCTAAAGGAGTTTAGTTGGTCGCGCTAATCCGAAAATATCTAGAAGAGAGGCTGAGCATGCTGAGATAAGCGCCGGTGGCTTTATTGAAATGCACTTCAGTATCTTTGGTGTCGTTTTACTGCGTTGCTGCTTCGTTGGCGCTAATTCGTTGATGCCTGATATTGTCATAGTCTGGTTGCTCCGCCTGGTATATAACAGGCGCCGATCGTTGCAAGTCGACCTGCTGTCACGATAAGTCATTGGGTTATGTTCAATGATTTGTTGCTACCCCTTGATTGGATCAATCCTATATCCAATGTGCATCTTTCTCATGTGCCCCGGAACCGCATAGTACAATGCCATGCTCCGGGTGACATGTATCCCTGGTTGGCTTGGTTGTTGCTAACAGCGTTGAGTGCCAACGATTTATCCAAATGTATGACACGAATCACGGGCACCTCGTATCTTGTGATACGTTTTCATTTTCTTTTGGATTACAGGAGCTATGGTCCTGTCAGTACGAGGTGGAAGCCCCTGTACCTTCTCCTTCAAAAATGTGGACGCCGGAGCGGCTTATGCATACCTTGACGTTAGGCGTCGTTGGCTCTCGGTTAGTTGTGCCATTATCTACCAGGACGAGTTTCAAGTTTCAAGGCTCATGTTGCTAGGATCCAATCAATCTCGCTCCAGAACTCTTTCCCAACACTCTCTGCGCCCCAGCCTGGGTTCATACTTAGGCAGGATCAAAACGTGCTGGTTCGGATTTTGGGGGCCATCTGTAGATATGAATATAAGCATCTTGTCTCCCATATTCAAATGCTAAATCCACCAGCAAGATTCGTCAAAGCTTTCTCTGAGATACATCAATCCCTGAGCATTACTTTATTCAGTTACCAATTATTTCCTTTGTTGAGCTACATTCCAACTGCCACCGCGACACACCCTTCGAGCTTCAATATGTCTGCTAGATACGTTGCCGGCACAACCATAAAAACCATCCAGCACGCTGGGCGTGAGATCGTTCTGGAGTTTGTATCCGAAACTACAGAATGGAAACGCACCTTTATCGACAAGTCGGTCCTCGATGATTTTGCAGCCACCGCCGAGAAATCCGTCGATACCCTACGTGCAGATACCGCCTATGTTGCTATGAAGTATACCAACCCAATGCCCAATAAGGGTGCACTATCATACTGATCGTACCATCATTTACTACTCTAGGGAGAAGGAGCACGATAGCAAAAGTGATCGAAGGAGCCACTTTTCCGTTCTCGAGTTGGATAAATCCAAAAACGTCATGGCATCTCGTCATTTGGTCAAGAAATGAAGCCCACTTTCATGGGGTATATGTGGAACGATAACGCTCGCTGCGGGTTGGTTTGGTATTATATTTCAATGTGCTAGGTAGAAGGGTGTCGGATTGATATCAATATGTCGGAAACGTATGAATCTCATGTGTAACAAGATCTACTTCTTATATTCTCTGTACCACTATCTCTCCTAACTAGTTGCATACAAAATATAGGGCTTTTTATAGGAAAACGAATGTGCGAGCCAAGAAGCTAGCAATTAGTGAGTATTACAATTGTAGTAGGCTGATGATGATAGAAAAAATAGTAGTAATATGATGTTAGTGGGGGTCATAGCATATAACCTCTTATTTCCCAACACATCCCCTTCAGCAAATGAAATGTGCAAAAGAAGTGTAAATGAAGCTGCATGGAAATAGTCAAAAGAATGAGAAGATAGAAGAGTAAGAATGATCATCAAGATAGATCATTTATATCATTATATTGCTTATGCATTGATGATATCTGATATATTAACTAGGCCTAGCATCTTGATAAATTTTGAATGTTTCTAGTACGGCAGAGCTTTAGTGAGGCCATCTACTGACATCTGAGCTGTAGACATTCAATCAACTGTAATATCACTGAATTGAACACATTCTCAGAGTTAGCTACTGTATATATCAACATAGCAGAGCTTTATAATTATAGAGAGATTCTTCTTTGTTAGAATATCAACAGTTTAACAGTTATTACATTGAATGCTGTAAGAGGCCTACGCCGAATAGATCAGTATTAATATATAGATCTTATATAATAAAAGTGAAAAATGTTAGAGAAGGAAAAAAGAGAAAGTGCAGAAATCAGTGATTGAAGTGAATATTTATATGTGTACAAGATGAAGCTTCATAGTGGAAGAATAGAAATTCTGTGAATATTTATACATGTATGAGATGAAGCTTTAAAATGAAAGAATAGAAATTTCATAAGTTCTTTAACTAAGAATAAGTGACTGAGAATCAGAGCTTTCAGCAGAAATCTATGAAGTGTAATAGAATAGTCTATATAATTGATCAGATGCAGTCTGTCACATTAATTCTCTCTTTCTGAAAGTAAGCACAGTTCTCATCAGTCAAGAGCTGCTGTATCAGATAGTGCAGAGTCTGAGATCTAAGTTAAAAGAATATAATTAACTTATTTCACAAGATATTATTAGCTGCAGCTGCAAGATCTTTTATTAAGATTATCTTTAATCTCTTATTTAAGTTTATTATCTTCTTCTATAATCTCTGATGATTATCAGTCAGAAGTCAGTTAAGAAGAGAATGAATCAGTGACAGTGTTATTATTATTATTATTCTTTAATTATAGATGAATACAGTCAGAGACTATGACATCTACCTGAGAATCTTTAGTTCTCAGAGTTTTTCCTATATCTATAGAGTCAACTATTATACACTTATCAATTTCAGATATGCAAAATCAGAAAATTCCAGCTCAGAATACAAAAACTGTTTATAAATTACAGTATTTCAACACCTTTTAATACTTTGAAATTATTTGAAAATATCATGACAAAGGAAAAGAGAACATAGTCTTAAAGATAGACATATTAAATAGATAGATAGAAAAGAATAGAAAGAAATAAGTATAGTAAAGAGAGTTACAGAGCAAGATCTCTGTAGTTTATATCTTAAGCTATATATATATTTTAACATTCTATATAACTGATCACTGCCTCTGTTCTCTCAGGCCTGTTTCAGAGATTATCATTTCTTCTAAAGAACTGCTGCTCAGCTAGCTTCTGTAACTAGCTTACTTATAAGTGAGATTCTCACTAAGAATAATATCAGAGCTACTTAATTCTAGTTAAGTCTCTAATCTTTCAGCTGTCAATCTTGGCATTTCAGTCTATTAATTGACTGTCATGATCTTGCTTATACTAATCATCTATTAAGAGTGTCTAGGTCTTATCTTATCTAGATTCTTGCTAGACTCAGAGTGTTTTAATCAGATAGTTTTTAAATCTCATTCTCTGAAAGTAAGTGTCTAGAGTGAGAGAAATAAGATCTGACTAGTTAAGCTTGATAATAATTTACTATTCTGCAGACACTCTAGATCTCAATCACTCTAGTACTGATTTAACTTGAAGTGTCTGAGAGACTGTTAATTCTAAGATCAGTGAGAATTAGTGTCTGAGAATTCTCAGAATGAATATCTTAAGCTTGATGATGATTCACTATAGTGCACTCAGAGACTCTCAGTACTGTTTTATAACTTAACAGTGAAAGCTGTGATTAAGATGACTCTTGCAGAGTTCAAATCTGCCCTCTCTTGACATTCATTCCCCGGAGGGGAAGGCCGTTAATTGAGGCTTCATGATAGTGTAGTTAATCACTATGTCATCAGGCCATCAGTGACAGTGTAATGAAGTAAGCTTATATAAAATATATTATAAATCTCTGATAGAGTATTAAAATAGTAGTTATAACTGTCTAGAACTTCTGTTACTATGCATTTCATATAATAATAATTTAGTATATAGAATGAGTGTGTAATCTATATATTTTTAAGATTTAATTATATAAGATCTTCTATCTTATATTACTCAGTGAGATCTTATCAGACATTGACTTAATTCTCTTTATCTTATTTAATGCTTATTATAAAGACTTCTGTTCAGTCATAGATATCTCAGAGCTTTACTACTATATTATCAGTAATCTGAATTAAACTGTGAGAGTTCAGTGTGAACTGTGTGATCTCTAGAAGATTTAACACTTTTATATAATAATTATATATAAGAAAGAACAGACTTATATCTATTAAGATAGTATCTCAGCTATTGATAATAATCTCTGTATATAGAAGAAGATTGTATTAATTATCTTATAAATGATTACAGAACTTATAAAGAAAATTCTTTACAGTCTAAATATTCATTCTGATGTATTATCAGTCTCAGAGTGATAAGTAGTTAATAAATAGTATATAATCTTGAGAACTTGATAGATTCTTATTCAGAGAGCACTCATGAATTAATAGTCTTAATTAAATACTATAGATCTTAGTAATTTATATATCTAATAGAATAGACTCTATAGAAAGACTTCAGTAACTTGTTCAGTATTTATCTTATTATAAGATTTTAATATTATATCTTTACTCAATTAGTTAATAATAATCAGAATATTCTTATAACTCTTACTCTTAAAGAGATTAATAGTGAAGTTAATTACTATATCTTATCAGATTCTATCAGAGAGATTGAGTGATTTCAGTAGATCTTTTCTACAGTTCTTTTGTGGTTCGGAAGAACGTACGACCGTCGGATAATAACGCGGCCGCTTCCGAACTACTAGCGTACGAATGTAAAGAGGGGCCATAGCGGCCACTAATTAATTTAGCATACAAGATTCAATATATAAGAAGCCGGCGTACACCTGTAATCATACACTAACTTAAGCAATCTTTGAATCACATCTGATAGCATGTCTAAAAATCAGTGAGAAGTGCAGACTTCTCCAGAATATGATAATTTCATTTACAAAGTGATTTATAGTTATCATGTCAGTGTGGTTCTAGAACACCTCAAAAGATAGTATACAAAGAGTGATGAGTGAAAGAGTATCTGATTGATACTGCTTCACTTGTTGAGGAAAAACTTCACACTCAGGCAAATGCCATGTATGCAAATGAATGAGATGTGAGAAAAGAGATAAGAGCAGTGAATCAGATTCAAAGAAGATTACTCTTCACTCAAAGAAATAAAAGAAGAGATGGTCATCATCAGAGTTATATAATGATAACAGAAATCATATAATGATATAGTGATAGAATAATATAGTAATATAACAATACAGCAATATAGTAATATAACAATAGACATTGTATAATCAATGAGAAAATCACTGAAATAAATATCTCTTCTAGTTAATACAAATAACATTCTTCTCTGCTATCTGAACTGAAAGATATACAGAACCTTTCAGAGAATTTACTTGAAATAGTAAGAAAAGCAGCTGAGACTACTGAATCAGAATCAAAGCTTCATACATGTATAAGAATTCTAAATGAGATTGAGGCCTTGTATATACAGTGACAGGCTGAGACAGAAGTCAAACAATAATTGACATTCACTGTAGATTAAGTATTCACTATAAAGAGCTTTATCAACACAATCATCACTATTAATAAGAATAGAGAAAACCAGATCTTAGATCTGTAGCAGAAGATTAAATATTTACACAGATAGATAACTACACTGAATCTGAAGATCTTATCACAATTGTTCACAATCTCTTCAGAAGTATACACATTATCAGAGACTACTGTGCAGAATGAGAATCTGAGCATGAAATATATTAAGTCAGAAGATCTGCTGAAGCTATTAAGCTTCAATAATAACTGAAAAAATAATGCTGCAATCAGCTGACTAAGTCAGATGCAATTATATTATCAGATTGAATATGAACTCACAGACAGATAGTTAACAGAATTTCAACAAGTCTTAAGATCTGCTGTATTTCTACATAAAAAAGTGAAGTCATTATAAATGACTGATGAAAAGATAAATCTCACAGATCTGAAGTAATATTCATTCTTATAAATATGAAATGAGTTTTTCAAATGAATCTTGCACAACTTTGAGAAAGTGAATATATGAGATAAGTGTTATAAACACTTCACTGAGTGTAGATAAGTAAGTAATCTTATATTATATTTCATATACTTCAGTTTATACTATCTCACATTGAATGAAGAGCTTCTAACATCTTTCTATTTACAGATCTTCATTCATAATCTTACACCTGAGTTGAGAGTGAAATGAAAATGCTTAATCTTATAGTTAGGTATAGTGAAGAAAGCATATAACATTCTCATTATATGAGAATAAGTGAGTCAATTGCAATAGAAAATACTGCAATCAAGTATATCTCAATGAAGAACAGATAATCAGACTTCTACAATACAAGTTACACACTCAGATACAATGAATCTAGATCTGAATGTTATTACTAAAGTGCTGAATTCTTCAAAAAAGAAATTCTCTGAGTGAAAATCTTGATATTATAAGTATCAAGCTTGCTTCAACTGCAGATGTCAAAATCATGATATAAAAGATTACACTCAGTGTGTGCAGTCAAGAGAAGCAAGAAAGTCAAAAAACTAGCAGAATCAGTGAGCTTGAAGACAGTTGCTGATATTCTATAAAAAGTCTTCAAAGTGAAAGAGATGCTCATGTTAGATGACTCTCTGAATTCTGTAAATATCAAGAGAAAGCAGGCTTCTGACTGAGATGCAGATGAGAATGAAGTAAACACTTATCTAAATATCTTGAAGTCTGAAATATTAATGTATAGAGAGCACTTGAGTAAG